AAGGTTGGGTCCAAACGCCATTTCTACAGATCAGTTACCACCTTGTGGCGAGACAGCTCCGCCTCACCCACCCCTTGTTTCTTCTCGCCATCAGTGCAGCGCTGACCCGGGCTTTGTGGTTCAACCACACACCACACCGCGTGCTGAAGGCGGCGACACAAGCAGAGCCCATCCCCTGCCCGCTCTGGCCTCCCTGCTGCTTGCCGGTTACCCAGGGGACTGGGGTGCTTCACGGGCCTGACAGAATCTGTCGCCATGAGCTCGGAAGGGCGGCCTCATCACTGTCCACCTCCGGGCTGGTGATCTGGGAGCATGGGAGGCCAGTGGGGATGAGGCCCAGGGAAGACGGCGGGGCGTGCAGGCTTGGGCACGGACCCGGGGCCAGAGACCCGTCCTCGGTCGTCTCAACCTGTTTCATTCCATGCCACAGTTGCCGCAGCTTCTGACCAAGCTAACAGGATGGATGAAAGTACTGACCAACTCGTCAGCTCAGTAATTTTTCTGTTATGTAGAAAAAACTCAAGCTCTTTGGAGAGTTTCCATCACTGGGATACACCAGCGCTGAGATGTGCACACACATTGTTCACAGGAAGCGTTTGTCAGTGACCCAGACTCACAGAGTAAGACTTCAGATTCATTCTCATGGGCACATTAAAACTATTCTTCCTGCACTTGTGTTTCTTACATTTTAATAACTTTTTAATGTTCTGTCCTCAAATTTACAGTTGCAAAACAATAGAAGAGTTCAGCACAGGTGCATTTACAACCGTCCTGAGACCAGGGGCCGCCGGGCCGGCTGTTTGAGAATGAGGAGCATATCGCAGGCCGCGAGCCAGGTGACTGAAGGGCATGACACCTGCCCCACATCACAGGCCTGAAATACAGCCACCATGCCAGTTATAAGCTAGGGTTTAAAGCAGTGATTTTTCAAATATTTCTACCCATGAAAAATGATTGTAGCCTTGCATATTTTTAATTTGGTATCCAAAGGTTTATTTGTAAGTTAAAATAGTTGCAAAGGATATAATTTCCAGTGTACTATAAACACTGACTTAAAAATAAACTCACATCACTCCCTTAGCTGTCTGTATCCAGTGGAATCTATAAACCATAAAAATTTCACACCCATCATTATTGATTAAAAAATGTACTGACAAGTTCTTTGAAAATCTATAATTTTTCATTTTACTTTTTTCCCTTAAAATTGTATCTTGGACATACTTTCTCCACAGTGTTTATCTCAATGTCATATACTTTTGGGAGGATTTTTATTCACCACTCTAGCAAACTTCTCTGTAGACAGAACACATATATAAATAGAAAATACAAATTTTTAATGTGATAAAGTATCAAAACACTTAGATTGTTGTCATTATCATTTTGTCAATTCACAATTTTTATACCAGTTCTTAAAACTGAGTATTAAATGCAAAAGTAATTCTGGAAGTAATGATTTTGATGAGATGGATGGGGCTGTTGAAAGTCCGCTGCGCAGTGTCCTGCACCCGGGAGGCCTGTGAGGGGTGGGAGGCCACGTCCCCACCCCGTGGACTGCCAGGCCTACAAGTTCACATGCAGCCTTGATGTCTGTGAGCTCACACGCCCCAGAGGCCACGAGCTCCCCTGTCTTCAGCAGGTCCCCTCTCCTAGTGGGAAAGCCTGCCCACCCACCTGTTCTCCCCCCACCCTAGGCTGGAGCAGCTGCACCCCACCTGTTCTTCAGCCTGCTGGGTTCACCTCCCTGCCTGCCCAGGAACTATTCAAACCAGGCAGTCATGTCCTCCCTCGGGGGCCAGGGTCCCCCACCGCTCTTTACCACACAGCCTGCCCCTCTTGGCCCCATGGCTTGTTCTGCTCCCGAGTGCAGCCCCCTGTGGCCTCGCCTGACGCGCCCTCCCCTGGGCTGGGGCGTCTGGGCTCGTGAGCCGCTGTCAGTGTGTCCCTGCTCAGGGCAGGGGTCCTCTCCCCACCAACAAGGCCTCGAGGAGGAGCCAGCACGCCCTGGAAACTGCCCTGGGAATCGTCACAAAAGGTGGCAGTGCCTCCGCAGGGCTAGGCATTCAAGCCTGTATTGTTCCATATCCTGACATGTATAAGTCTTGTTTTCTCATGCTTGAACTGTCCCCTGGGGGGCCAGAGAATAGTCCCCAAACAGCTGCACGACTGCCCTCCCATGAGAGAAGCACATGCCCTCCGCCACGGAGTGAGGCGTCCCTGCTGCATCCTGTGTGCGGCCCCTACTCTCTCAGTGGCCGAATCATTGAGTTGAGCCTATGACAACCTCCTAGTAAGGAATGCAGTTTTATCCCTTTTTAAATTTTACCAGTACAGGTGCTGAGACACCTTGTTCACAGAAAGGAACAGTAACAGGGGAGTTATGTGCCAAAAATAACTTGGGTTGAATGGACAGATTCCTTGAAAGACTGACACGAACAAAACCCGTTCAGGAAGAAACCGTCCAGACAGCCCCATGTCTATTAATACCCTGAATCAGAGTGGGAATCTCCAAACGAGGAGAGAAAGGCCCAGCAGCACGATTAGATTCTTAACCCCGGAACGTAAACTGGCGCAGCCCCTGCAGAAGACAGCACAGTGATACCTCGGAATTACACAGTCTCCAGGTATCTGACCAGCAGCCCCAGTCCCGGGCATGCGCCCAGAAGGATGCAAATCAAGGAACTCAGGTCTTGTGCCCCCGCGTGCACAGCGGCACTGCTCACGAGAGCCTCAAGGGGAAGACGACCCGAGGGGCTGCTGACGGGTGCTGGGTAACCAGTATGTGGCCCATCCATGCAATGGGGTTTTCCATCCTTAGAAAGGAAGGACATCCTGGCACAGGTCACAGCATGGATGGACGCTGGGAACCGCAAGCTAAGCTAAGCTACAGTAAGCTGTCCTAACGATGTGCTACTACCCTTTGCACGCTCTCCTCCCCCATGTCCATCACTCTCTGATTTCACTGTCAAACAGCATTGAAAAGATGTTGGAGTCGTGACCCACTGATCACCTCTGGACCGAGGTGATAGCGACGTTGCTGAGCTTGAGAAGCTGGTTCTGCTGTGGGGGCGGGACTCTCTCTGCCCCAAGCCTGATGCCCAGCTAGGGCTTGGAGGCTAATCACTGCAGCGGTTCAAGGTCATGTGGGCTTAATATAGGTGAGAATGAAGAATTTCATTCACAACACCTTTCACGGATCAAGATGAGACCTCCCTGATTTGAAAGTGACTTAAGGTTTCCAGTAGAATATTCTCTGTCTGCACTCTACTGCGTGCTTGTCATCTACACAGTTCCTGTATCTTCATTACTCTTTTCTTAGTATCTAGCTGAAGTTACACTATTTGGAAAACCCTTGAAAAACTATATTCAAGGACCATAATAGTTTCACAATAAAAAATAGATTGTGAAAGCAAATGTTGGTGAGGATGTGGAACGACAGAAAGTCCCAAGGGCAGCCAGTGGG